GACATGTTAATCCATCTGGATTTAAAAAAAAAAAACAGTTTGGTATTGGTACTATTTAAGTAAATGATCTGAATATGTCGGTTGATATCTTGAAGCAGTGTGGGATCATGGGAGTTATCTGCAGTCACCTTAAGATTCCTTCAGTGTTCATTGTGCAGGAGGTTTTTTTTTTTACCAGGGGGATATGAAACCAGTGACAGACAACTGGTGAAATGCACCGTTACCAGAATAAAATTACTGTAATTATCTGGATTTGAACTTTGTTGGAAACATTTGGGATAATGTAAGGAAACAACTCAACAGAATATATAAGAGAGGTCTAGGTTTTTTAGACATTTTAATACATAAATTGTTATACATTATAGCTTTAAGACTCAAAGCAAATAAAACACACATTGGACTAACATGTTAATAAAAATGGTAAATGTGAGTTCATTTAAATGAGTTCTTCTTAAACTGAGACATAAAACTGAGTTCAAGCTGTTGTTTTGAAATTGATCAGTTAATCTTAAAGTAGAGATTAAATTATTTTGTTAAAAGCCAATTTAAGGAAGTTAGACAATACTAACATCCAAACTGGATGTTAACATTACTGCAATTAAACAATAACAAGTGATTTTTACATAAGTACATCTTACACAACACTTATTCCATGACAGCAAATTCATTAAGCAAAATGTAGCAGAATTATGTTCATTTACATTTCAAGCAGTCATATAATGTGTTATTACCAGCGGTGAAATGTTACTACGTGTATTTGCTCAAGTACTGTACTTAAGTACAAATTCCATGTTTCATTTATGACACTTTATACTTCTACTCCATTACATTTGTCTGACAGTTTTAGTTACTAGTTACTTCTCAAATAAATTTTCAGAGAACATTCTTCTACATTTTAACTTGAACAAATAGTCTTCTGGATAGTCTATTAGACAAAATATCACATTTAGAGAAACTTTTGATGACATACTTAATTATAAGGAATAGTGTAGATTCAGATACAGATTACTTTATTGCTTATTAAATGTGCACAAAATGGAAATGTATCATATGTTAACAACCATCAAATACATAGCAACACACAAAAACAGTAGAAAGTTGGCAAGTGAAATAAAAGTGATAACCATCACAACACTAAAACATACACAGCAATAATAAATAGTACACAGCTGTAAAATAATGTAAAAGGATATTGAAAATGGGGGCAGGAGGATTATTTAAACAGGTTCTTATTGAGGATGGTCACAGATGAAGTTTTTATAACCGTTCTTCCTCACCACTGGGAACTGCTGAGTGGAGAGGATGGGGGCAGATCAGATCATTTCTACTGCATTTTTAACAGTGCGGCTCTCAGACTGGAAACGTTGGTTGGTTCATCACTTTTATTAATTCATTAACTATTAGGTGGATTACCATAGAATTCTTGTACAAACACTCTTGGTCCCCTGAGGATGAATCATGATCCCCAGACTTTTCTTCTAGCTTCACCGTGTGCTCGACATTTGTATTTAGTGCTGAAAAATCTCGACAACCACTGGATGAATTAGCCGTGGAACGTCAATGTGGTTCAGAGATCCGGGTTCTTCTCAGGATGAACTGTTATCACTTTTCATCCAGTGCCACTGTTGGGTCAAGAATGGAATTTGTCAGTACTGTGTTTTGGGCAAATTAACAAAAGTTACACACACAACAGGACAGTGAGCCATAGACTTTAATTCACTTTGATTCAAAATGGACAAAGTCTCTGGCTAATCCAAAAATGGGCCTGTACCTGGAGAGTTGGTGGAGCTGAGGCGGGTTGAATGAAGCCTGGTGACTGAAAACAGACACCTGTCACTCAAAGTGGCCATGCACTTTTTATGCATAACTTCAAGCTTTGATTACATTTCAATGAGCGAGTCATATACAAATTCACCCACTGTACAGCTGCCATGAACGGGCAAATTAGCTATAGAGAACAAAACCATTTATTTCTACTGGCTGGTAAACTTGGACATTTTAATATAAGGGCCTTATGGAGATTCGTAGCCTGCCTCAAGTGGCTGTTTAAGGAACTGCAGTTGTTATGTCTGTGTTGGCTTCATTTGCCAGGCCACTGATGTTGCAATAAGCATTATACCTACTCGACATTAGCATTGTCATCATGAGCATGTACTGATATTAGCATTTAGCTCAAAGCATTATAAGAACTAGAAGTTTTTTTTCATGTTTTATATAAACAGTGTGTTTATACATATATTATAACATCAGGTACTCAGTTTTATCGAGGAAGCTACAAGTGCGTGTCAGCGGTTGAGCTGTTTGTTAATTCCTGCTGGTTTTCTTTGTGTTGAAAGACGTGCTGGATGTTGTTGTACAATCAGTCCAGTTGCAACAGTAGCTGTGGTATTTTGTTCCTATGATGAGAAGCTGGTATAGATGACGGGTAGATGGATGGATGATGAAGGCTTAAGAATTGTCTCATTTCTCACAAAAAACAAAAAACCTCATAGATGTGCGTCAATTCTGAATAGACCAGCAGTTTATCTGTATTTATTATATGTGATGTTTGGGGTTCACAAATTCTGATTTAAAATTCAAATGCCAGTTGTGCAAAAATTATATTCAAATTGTTCAAACTCATTAGGCTTAATTCTCATATAAACAGTGAGTCAAAGAATCTGAATTCAGGAACTGAAATTGACTATTGAAAGTTTCAAAGAGAGAACATAAATTCGTTTAGATGGTCGAAAGTAAAATATCTGTGTAATGAAATCAGTTGTATTGAATGTGTTTACATTGTTTACATGCACAACAGTGTCTGGGTTATTATTGGGTTTTTGGGATATCCTGGTTATGGTTTGTGCATATAAACAGTTTACTGGTTAAGAAACTTGGATTTAATACTGCATTAGAAAGCAGGATACTCTAGCACGTAAACAGCTTTTCCAGGTTTCTGAACATTCATTGTTCAATGTTGATCAACAAATATTCATATATACGAAAAGACAATTATTAAGTGTCCTTTTTTGTCTAAAATGTCGGCATTGTAGCTTTTTTCAGTTACTTTTTTGTGACATACTTGCACGCAAATAAGGAAACAGATCAGTCTGGAAATAAACACCAAACATAAAGAACACAACTCAGGAGAGGAAAACAGGATGGTCCTAGAAAGGCTGAACCTTTGATTGAGACCTGGATTACTTATGAAGTCTTGTATCTTTTCATGTCTCTTACCAAACTACATACACCAAAATGCAAATGTATGACAGAGACAAAGTTTAATTCTCTTATTTTTCATATTCCCATGATAACTTTTTTGTACTAACATTAAAATTATAACTTTTTTTTAACCGTATCTTGTTGTTTTCTGTCTGTACCAAGACAGAAACTGACTTGGCTTACTACGTAATGAACACAGAAGCAACATTTAATTGGGGTAATCAATATTTTAATACAATTTTAAATTTAGATATGAAAGGCTTCATAAAATAAACATTGTTTTTCTTTTCAAATTGTGGCATGGAGATGTGTTGTTAAACATATTCTCATGACTGGAATGAAATCATTTCAAAACACTGCAATAAAATGGGCAGTTTTTTGCTACAGTAATACAATTTGCCATTTACATGACATCACAGAGGTCAAGGAACGAGATCCAGCAGCTGCCTGCGTCCACAGAAACCATTCAAATAATAAAAAAAAGGTACATTCTGTAAATCACAAGATCATCTGTGCCATACTCAACACATACTGTACTCTTGGTATACATCAACATGCTTTAAAGTATCTTGGAGAGATGAAAAAAGGTAAAGAAGAGGTATGTGAGTGAAGGTGTGTGTGAAAACAAGTCCCCTTTAAAAAAAATACACAAGAAAAACAATTAACACAGACAATAAGCATAAAAGACTACGTCCACAGAAAGCCGAACAACTTTTAAAAAATGCAGTTTACGTGTAAATGTTCTTCTGGTAAAGATCTCCGTCCACATTGAAATACCTGAACTGGAACAGCTTCATCTCTCTTTCTTTGTCCTCCTTTCATTCAGTAAACAAAAACTGTCACCAGAGCCAACATCTGACGAGGAGTGACACAAACACTCTTTCATCCTCTTTCCTGTCGCCTCCTGCTCTCTTGTGAGGATTCAAAAAAAAAAAAGAAAACAGCCAAATCCCCTCTCTGTACCTGTTGGCAGATAATGGAACTAGTATAAAGTCATGGTTTGGTCACAGCTCATAAATACTACGCGTTAATGCTCTCCGGTGCAGACAAAAAGCAGCAAATCCTCACATTTCCGAAGCTGCGACCAGCACACGTTTGGCTTTATTGCTTGGACATAAACCATTATCTAAACATTTGCAGATAATCTTTCTGGCAATCGACTAACGGCCAGAGAACGGCCACTAGGCAGGCTTACCACATCACAAGTCTGTTTACACGCTGAAACACCCAAGACCACATTTTAAGATTTTTTTCCAGTGTTTAAAAAAACCAGCTTAGTGTGGAAACAAAAAAAAGATGCTGTTTTAAATGTACCCGGCTTAATGTGAACGTACTCTGAGTCAGTGCAATAGAGTTAAAAAAAAGAAAAGAAAAGGAAAAAGCACTCATGTCTGGATGCTGGATACTGGCTTTTTTTTGCAGCAGCTGGTTGTGAGGCGTTTCACATTGTCATCTTCTCTTTTTCGGTTTCGCTGAGGCTTCAGCAGCCTCACAGTCCCTGATTCCATGCTCGGCTTTCCACCGGCTGGACCCGTGTTCGGGGGGGGAGGGAGGGGAACTTCGAGCTGGGAAATTCCTATCGAGCTTAAGAAGGTAACCAACCGCGGAGGTGTGGAAGTCCCTCTCTCCCCTCGCTGAGCCTGCTGTCCCAAAGTTGAACATCAAATGTTCCCGCCTTCACCGGGATCTTTTCAATGCAAATCAGTAAAGAAAAGTCTCTCTCTCCGTCCGCTGTGTCTCACACTGAAGGAGCTGTAACAAAGTGCCTCAGTTCCGCAGGGGACCGTTCTTTTTATTTTTTTTTAGTTTTCTTTTTTTTTTTTTTTTTGGAAAAACCTCCAGTAAAAAAACTAGAATCTCCAGTTAAAACAACAGCAAAAATTACACAAATATATCGTTCACACTATACGATTATGTACATTTACCTCTTAAAAAGTCAAATCAACGCGAGGCCTCCCTTTTTCACAAGTGCTCACGAAGAAAAATGCCGTCGCACTTTTACATACGATGTAACCTGAGACAACCCGGCCGCTCGCTGTCTGGAGACGACCTCCGACTTCCTCACAGTTACTATTTTCTCGCGAATCAATCACGACACACAGCATTGTCCCTCTTCTACTCTGGCCAGCGAGAAGGAGAATAACGGTCGGTCGGAGCTCCAGCAACAACAGGACATCTCAAAAATGTGCACGAATACAGGCAGCATGGTTGACTTATGGGTAAAATTGTACTCACAGTATCATTAAAAAAAAACTCTATATTGTAATCTGGCAGTTGTTGTTAAATGCCAAACTTAATTCAATCCCCATGCTCCATTTTCCAATTGTCGGCATTCTGTGCGAATCACACGCTCGATAGGTCGGCTCCGATCTGAGGTCACGACTTATCCTGAACCTTCAGCAGCGCCTTCAGGTGAACGGTCATTTGCTCTCGGCCTTTGGTTGCTCTGTTGAGCGCTCGTTTTCT